ATGTTGATGTAAATTGTAGTATGTATTGTTCATCACGTGTAGCAGCTCCACTGCCATTGTCAACAGTACCTGAAGAATTCACAGAGATCTGATCTACCACGACGACCTTCCTGCGTGAGACTCAACCGCGCCATCACAGCAATCGGACTTTGAAATCAAAGTTGTATCCTTCCAGGTTTAATGTTTCAGTATTATATATTTGTGCTGACATGTTTGAATCATCAGTCCATTATGCAATTGTTAGAGTATTGAATGCGTGAGCTATGGTTATCCATTCTTGGTATATGACTGTGATGCACAAATGCTTCGTCATGATCATGTTCGTCTTACAAATGGGGAATGCAAAAATAAAAGTACAAGTTAACACTGTCTCGCTCTAAACTAACACTAACCACAAACCGATGTAACATAAAACTAGCGTGAAAAGGCAATAAGTCCTTCTCTCTCTAATCTAAAACGCTAACCTAAAAACCGAAAAAAACATAAATTAAAACTAAAAGCCTACGGCCTTCTCTTTCAGCTGAATCACTAACCAAAACCGCAGTAACATAAACTTAAAACAAAGAAGGTTAAAACGTAAAATAACAATAACAACACGAAACAAAGAACTAATAATACCGGTAAATTAAAGGGGACGAAAAACATCGATGTGGGCAATAATAAGTCCTTCTCTCTCGCAACCGAAAAAACATAAATTAAAACTAAAGCCTCACGGCCTTCTCTTTAAGCTGAATCTCTAACCCAAACCGCAATGACATAAACTTAAAACAAAGAAGGTTAAAACGTAAACCAAAACCGAAAAAAAACCATAAATTAAAACTAAAAGCCTACGGCCTTCTCTTTAAGCTGAATCCCTAACCCAAACCGCAATGACATAAACTTAAAACAAAGAAGGTTAAAACGTAAACCAAAACCGAAAAAAACCATAAATTAAAACTAAAGCCTACGGCCTTCTTTTAAGCTGAATCCCTAACCCAAAACCGCGCAATGACATAAACTTAAAACAAAGAAGGTTAAAGCGTAAACCAAAACCGAAAAAAACATAAATTAAAACTAAAAGCCTACGGCCTTCTCTTTAAGCTGAATCCCTAACCCAAACCCGCAATGACATAAACTTAAAACAAAGAAGGTTCAAACGTAAACCAAAACCGAAAAAACATAAATTAAAACTAAAGCCTACGGCCTTCTCTTTAAGCTGAATCCCTAACCCAAACCGCAATGACATAAACTTAAAACAAAGAAGGTTAAAACGTAAACCAAAACCGAAAAAAAACATAAATTAAAACTAAAAGCCTACGGCCTTCTCTTTAAGCTGAATCCCTAACCCAAACCGCAATGACATAAACTTAAAACAATAACAACAAAGAACTAATAATACCAGTAAATTAAACGGGAAAAAACATCGAGGTAAAGTCGGGCATGTGAAACTGAAATATAATCCTTGGCTCAAGTGATTTTCTACACTTGGCTCAAGTTCTATGAATTGAGTCGGTAGGCCGGCCGAGGCATTGATAGTATTGTTTCCAGGTGAGGGGAACATGCTTTCAATGTCTACGAACTAGCCCGGATATTTGTCTTCAATTCCACCTGGTGTGATGGCGAACTGAATTTTTGGCTATGTTTGCACTTGGTTTGATGTTGTCTGGAAGGATGAATAAAACGTTTTCATTGCTGCGCTTAGCCGTGGTATTGTCTTCAATTCCACCTGGTGTGATGGCGAACTGAATTTTTGCTATGTTTGCACTTGGTTTGATGTTGTCTGGTTTTTCATTGCTGCGCTTAGCCGTGGTATTGTCTTTAATTCCACCTGGTGTGATGGCGAACTGAATTTTGCTATGTTTGCACTTGGTTTGATGTTGTCTGGAAGGATGAATAAAACGATTTCTTTGCTACGTTTAGCCTTGGTATTGTCTTTATTTCCATGTGAAGAAAACGGAGACACGTTTTTGTGATATTTAATTCTTATTGTTTGTTACTAAAGGTCACCTTCACACAATTACATCCCTTAAGTAGCTTCATAGTGAGTTCTTACTCACCTCATTGTCTTCAAATGAGCCTTGATTGGCGTCACGTTTGCAGAGGCACTTGTTGTGGTGGGGCACACAGGCTCTGCTCTGATGTTTTGATTGTAATGCCTAATCCGAGAGTTTCTGAGTGAGACATGGAAGCCAACCGAGTGGCGGGAATTACGACTGAAAGCGCCAATCGTTGATCGGTTGTTTAATCGCATAAGTGAATGGGATGAGTGAGTCGTGTCAGGTTTAAGCTACCAACCGGCCTTAATCCATGAATGATTGATTGACTCTGTGACCTCAATGCAGAGCTTAATACAAACACTTTTCAATCGCCCGGGCTATATATACCTAGCAGTCAGATACAAGCATCACGGCACTTGTGCTAACATTGTTTGACACAACTCATTGTTGAAGACTTCATTCAAGCCATGGCCTACACACTTTTTTAAAGGTCCTGTTTCAAAGCCCGTCCACTTTGCCATCCTGGGACATAGCTTCGTGCGGCGACTTGATCAAATCTGTCCCCCTCCACGTGGCATCATCACTTCCGTGCGTGGGATAGGAGGGGCGACTGTCGCTCGGATGAAAGCAGTGGTGGATGCCCTTGATGCAGGTTTCCAGGGCATTGTTTTCTTTCAAGTGGGAGAGAACGACGTGTCGGCGTCAACTGATCCTCAGAACCTGGTTGAGGACTTGCTGGATCTTCTGGACTACCTTCGGTGGAAACGGCCCGGCTCCAGAGCAGTGATAGGAAGTCTGTTCCCGAGGGTAAAACCAAGGAACATGACGGTCTCTGCCTACAAGCGGAAGGTGGAGGAGACGAATCGGCGCTTGAAGAGGATGTTGCGACGCCGTCTGGATGCCACCTTTTGGGACCACAGCCAGCACATGAGGATGGGACCTGCACTGTTAGGCAGGGATGGCGTCCACTTGACGTCAAAAGCCAATGCCCAGTTCTGGCTTTCCATTCGTAAGTGTATGTGTAGGTACGTTTAAACGCACATGCCCTGTCCGGTAGATCATCATTTTATCGTAATTCCAAAACTCTATATTTGTCGTTTCGGCCCATTGTGTTTATATACAGCAGTAGCAAAAGGGGATCCGTGTGTGAGACAATCAGTGCAAACGGGACGCACAGATCAAACCCCTTTTGATATGAAATCTGAGCTGTTTTGGCTCCCGTCACACGCACGGGGCTTAGCTTCGGGGGCTTTAAGGGTGGGGAAAACGTGACGACACCCGCACGTGTCGCACATGACGTGAAAGCTAAGACACGGGGCTTTCGATCCATAGTAACAACAAAACCCTGTGGTCGATGTACGAAACATAACAAGCATCTGCAGCGTGAAATACTGCCGTAAATCGGGTCAAATCGGGCTTAAAAGCGCCCCGGCTTCGAACCCGTTAAAGACAGGTCACTCCTGATGATACCACCAGTTGACCCTGGGAACCAGCTTCACGTCGATGTGCAACATGTCAATGGGTTGCGTATATTTGTCGTCCACGCGACGTATAAAAGATGATCGCAGAGCAAGGCTCTTTCTTGGTAAAGACATGTCTATATCAGATGGCCAAATGGACGTGGACGTCCAACCAGGTGCCCCACGTCGACCCCGTGACGATCCCAGGTGCCTTGTCCACGTGGCAACATTTTCATATATGATATGCGTGCATATGTTTCTTTCTCCGGGTGCGAAACGATTAGTGCAAGCGGGATGCAGAGATCAAACCCCTTTTGATATGAAATCTGAGCTGTTTTGGCTCCCGTCACACGCACGGGGCTTAGCTTCGGGGGGCTTTAAGGGTGGGAAAACGTGACGACACCCGCACGTGTTGCACATGACGTGAAAGCTAAGACACGGGGCTTTCGATCCATAGTAACGACAAAACCCTGTGGTCGATGTACGAAACATAACAAGCATCTGCAGCGTGAAATACTGCCGTAAATCGGGTCAAATCGGGCTTAAAAGCGCCCCGTCTTCGAACCCGTTAAAGACAGGTCACTTCTGATGATACCACCAGTTGGCCCTGGGAACCAGCTTCACGTCGGTGTGCAACATGTCAATGGATTGTGTATAGTCGTCGTCCACGCGACGTTTAAACAACAACACCCACGATTTCTGGCCCGCGATATAGGGCTATATACTACTTACAGGCAGTTACGAGTATGAACAGGGCATTAGGGAGAGGTGGAAACGAGTTTAAGTGAGAGGCAGGTAAGAGTAAGAGGGAGAATCGTGTACGAGGGAGAGAGAGAAGGGTACAGATAGGAGGTGGAGGAGGGAGAGGCGGAAACGGGTTTAAGTGAGAGACAGGTAAGAGTAAGAGGGAGAATCGTGTACGAGGGAGAGAGAGACGGGTACAGATAGGAGGGGAGGTGGAGGTGTAAAACGGGAGGATGTAGAGGCGTGTACGGGCACACAATAAACTATCTACCTCCATGTCATTCCCCTCGTTCTACCTATAACAATACCACTCTATTTCCCAAATAATGATCCACCTAAAGCCATTAGCTATTTTTCCACCCGCAACTCTTGTTCCTGGATCTACATACCCGACTACACATAGACGCTGAAGTAGAGATTTGTTTCACCGATCCACTGCACAGTTACGCCTCTTAGATAACAAGTCCTCCATGTCACGTGACGACGACAACGACCACTTCATGCACTACAATCTACGATATTGTACACCTCAAGGTCGTCTGCTGTCAAGTCTGGAACCTTCCAGCTTGATGTTTAGAAAGAAACGGAATCTATCTAACCCTAATATCCGACAATTAACACCCCGATTCACTGTCACAACGTTAGGTAGAGTAGTTCCATGTTTGTAAGTACAATATCATATGCATCACACACAACACACTTCGAGGAATGGGGTCTGAGGTGGGAGTTACAATGAAGGGTTTACCTGTTTGTCCTGACGCCTGATTGTGAAAACTTAAATCAAGGGCAACATAGATATTACATAATCTACGATACTCACGTATGTATTGCGCTGATTTAGACTGCAAAATATATCTTGTCAAGACAGCTTTTCTGGAATATGTCGCGACAGTACAGCACACACCTACCTGGAGGTTCGGCTTCCTTGTAATATAGGTCATATGCCGGCGTCACCTGATGGTGATAACGACTGTCACACGACACCTAAACACAAAGCCCATGTACTGTGGAGATAGCTCATCTGCACTTGCACACTTCCACTAGCCTAGTGGTTAATGCGTTCGCTCGTCACGCCGAAGACCCGGGTTCGATTCCCCATATGGGTACAATGTGTGAAGCCCCTATTTCTGGTGTCCCTCGCCGTGCTATTGCTAAAAGCGACGCAAAACTAAAGTCACTCACATCTGTACTCGGTACCACCAAATTGGCGACATAAAGACGTTGACCTCTGACCTCACTCCTGTAAGCTGAACCTGAGGCTCACCTACAAATAGATAACGTTTGTTAAATATGTAGATACACTCCTTACTAACAGAGCTGATATTCATTGCACAAAAAAGCATGGAAAGAAAAGTAAACTTTTAACAAGATCGAAAGTTATGATTAAACTTCACAATTACTGATATTAAAAAAAAACAACCCCGAAGATCATGCATTCTTTGTAAAACATATACTGAGGTTTTGAAATGACAAATGCAATACTAAATCTCAAAGGGGATCACAGTCCAGTACTTGTTACATGTGGCTGGTGCCAACAATTTTTGTCAGTTATGATTATCATTAACTGCAAGGCTGACACACAATATAATATAAGTTTGAAAACAATCTCGAGCTGGGCAGATACTTCTACTTGCTCACACACAGTCTCTATTTAACACTACACTGTTTCAGTCATACTATGGTACATGTACATGTCTACATGTGGTACACTGTAAGTACAGGCTAGAACCTTATACTGGCACACACCCAGTCTCCCTTTAACACTACACTGTTTCAGTCATACTAAGGTACATGTACATGTCTATATGTGGTACACTGTAAGTACAGACTAGAACCTTATACTGGCACACACCAGGTCTCCCTTTAACACTACACTGTTTCAGTCATACTATGGTACATGTACATGTCTACATGTGGTACACTGTAAGTACAGGCTAGAACCTTATACTGGCACACACCAGGTCTCCCTTTAACACTACACTGTTTCAGTCATACTAAGGTACATGGACATGTCTACATGTGGTACAGAGGAATATAGAACACTGTGAGTACCTCTGCCAGCCTGGGAGACATCAGTCACGAACTCGGCCTCCTCTCGGACTTTAACCTCCTTCTGTCTGAGAGGATCATCTTGGTGGACGTTCAGGTGAATGTTAAAATGACCTGAATCACACGTGTTGATATTAAAGTATTTTGTGTTAATCGTTATAACCCATGCTTTTCTTGGTGGTCCATGTTTCATTTCATAGTTTCAGCTCTGAAATTTAAAACAAAATTTCAAAATGTATGGATGCCTATGTGGCTGGAAGCTTTCAAGCTTTAGGATACAACATGTTAAGGTGTCCTAGAAAATTCACTTATAAATTTGATGACATCAACTGAAACATTACCTTTACAGCAAACACAAGGTACATTACCAACACAAATTATACATCTCAATTTGAAATATGGTTGTAGGAAAACAGTTAAAGACTTATGCCACTTTTTAGAAATATTCCATTCACACAGTCATCGAACATCGTAATTAAAAATCTTCAGAGTAACAAGCCAAGACTCCAAGCTCAACATCATACGAACACCAGAAACACATTCCCATCAGATGGTAAAATAGAGCTACATCTCACTGCCCCATTAGATGCTAACATACAGCTAAACCTCACGGCATCCAAAAACACATCCCCATCAGATGCTAACATACAGTCATTTCAGGTTTATTCAAACATTCCATTTTTTACAGTTATTTTGACAATATCTATTGAAAATATAGCAATGCTTTCATTTTCAACCTGCTTCCTCTCATCCTTAGCCTGTTCACAGATATATTGAATTGCAACCAATGAAGTATTTCTATGGGGACATATACTGTATTCACCTAAATTGTCCAGATTGCCATATTTCACGGGTTTCCAAACCCAGATTTCCCATGATTGAAATGCACCATTACACCCCACACCTGTCGTCTCTATCTACCACGGCCTACATTCGTATAAGGTGTGGCAAGTCGATGTAAAGAGTTGCGGCCCTTACCCATGCTATTGTCTCTCCATTTACATTTTGAGCATTAAACAAAGTAAATATCTTGAATTATGCCTGCTTTCACTCTTATAACTGTACGTGGTTCCCCGTCAACCCGTGTTTTTTTTCTAGGCCTTACTGTCACTGTGGTATTCATGCTTTGTATTCACAATCTTGTGTAGTTTTTAAATGTGGACAGAAACTATCACATCTTGTATCAATAGTCTTGTAACTATTTAGCAAAGGCGTTCAATCAGTTTATTCAGTTAATTCATTTAACTGAGCATAGTCACAACTTTGTAATTGAGGACAGACAGGCAGACAGGTTTTATCCAATAGTTTAGGCCCAGTGGCCTCAAGTATAATTGAAGCTGCTTAATGACTACTATTGGTCACATGACATGAGATAGTAAGTTTACACGTGATTTAAAATGGGCATCGAATGTGTTATGAAAATGGCAACAGATTTGATAATATTAGCATCATTACAATTAAGAAGATTATACATCGTTTGTGGGTATCATTACTATATTATAAATACTTCTATCGACAGGCAGAAAAAGGTCCACAGACTGATCATATGTAAAATTCGTCTTCAGTTTTACCAGAAGAACAATAAAACATGATAAATCTTCCAATATATTATTATCTTTTTAATAAAACGTTGTATTTTAAGGCATGTAGAGATTCTAAATTTTAAAAACAAAGTAATATAAGACTTCTCTCACAAGTGACTTTTTCATGTCAATGCAGTTCATTGATATGTGTGCTGAAGTCGACCACACTCGACTCTATACAATTACACAAGCGTCACTGATAACGACAGGGTCAAGCAGAGTTTGTAAGTATTGAGTGACTCGAATCGTCTCTCTTTAATAATATTACGTTAGCTCTTCCTGACTAAAATATATTGCAGATGATGCTGATTGCAGTTGAGCAAATCTATATTAATATCATCGATTGAATCTCAATTCTAGTTAATCCCAATATAACACAGGGGTGTCAGGTGGTCTATATGATGCGCTTAATACTAATCTTTTCTGTGGCAGGATAACCTCGAGGTACATATTTTCATAATTGTATGGCTCTAAATATACTCTTCGTTTAACATACACCAATGACAATGATACCACGACCAAATACATTCCTATCCCTCCTATAAGGAGAATGAACAAAATGTAATTTCAAATCATGTGTGTTTACAGAATCACCAAAGTGTGTTTCTGTAAAACATAATCTATCTTATTCAAAGATTTGATTAGAAATACGAGGTAGTTTAAGTGAAATATGAATACACTGTAGTTCCTTATGGCGCGAGTTCACTGAAACGGGACAATGATTTGGCTCCACGTCTCCAGCAATTACAAGAAGTAAGGCGAGGTTTGGTATTACCTTAGACTCGTTGAAAGACTGTGTTAAACATACATGTAGATATATATCAACACGACTACAGCTAGTGGAACAGCAACGTGCTCTTATCATCTTTAACATAACCATCTGTTGCAGGTAGTGAATGATTGACTGGATGGAATGTTCCCTTCATCAGGTGAGTTCAAAAACATTTATCATAGGTGAGGTGAGGTGAGGTGAGGTGAAATTGGGTTTAACGTCGTCCTTGAGAATATTTCGCTCATATGACGACGTGCATGCGTGTGAATGTGTATGTGCGGCTGCTTGTACTAGCCCAGACTGAAGCTGGTTTTATAGTGCTAGCCCACTGAGATACCATGCGGCAGTGAAGCATGAATACCCCACTCAGACATATTATACTGACTCCGAGCCGACCAGTCCTTGTTGTACCCATTCCTGCCGAGAGCGCAAGACAGGGACCAACAAGTACCATATTTTAACGTCTTTTGGTAAGACGCGATCATCGATCGAACCCGCGACCTTCCGCTCTCCGGACATTTATCATAATGCATACCTATTGATGATGAATATTTTCAAACAGTGAACTAGCTGTGTGTGCTACAGGAGTGAGTGTGGAGAAAGTTACAGTAGAATTCAGACTCAATGAAGTAACGTGCCGAGATTAACATATTATGCACATTTCGACAAAACATGTTCATGAGTGCAATGAAGTTGAGTGCACAGTGACACCGACACATGGCAATTTAAAATCTAATTAGCAAGCATACGTAAAAAGTAGCTCGGCATGCCATGAAATTGTATAAAATAAAAGTTATTTGAAACGTTATAAAAACAACCCTAAATACACATGTAGAAAAGCACTTTGTGTGAAATTTGATGTCACGTATCACGCGTGGCACGCGCATTTTGTGCACAATGAACTTGCTCACTTTTGACACTGAAGTTCACACACCTGATATTGAAAAGTGACGATCGGTAAGTTATTCTCTAGCCTATAGTGGACAACACTTTTCAACCTAAACTGCGCGTACGTCATTCCACGGCTTACAGAAAATCAGCGTCTGAAGTGGCCCAAAATAAAGCGGCCAGACATTTTCGTGTACATCGAAACACGATCTCATCTCTGTGGGGATATTTTCAACACAACGGGAACACAGAAGATTTGCCTCGTACTGGCCGGCCACGCGTGACGTCACGTCAGCAAGACAACCACGTTACAACTTATGTTATGCACAGTCACTTTTTCCGTCAGTATAGTTTTCTAATAAACAAGCGCATTATAAAATAATTCAACATTTGAGTTATGATTCTGCATAACAGGAAATGCTGAATGATTATTCTAAAAAAATGTAAACAGTACGTCTGCAAACAGAAATTGACATTGCTATTTCGTTGCATTTCCATCTCTACTTCAAGCGAAGGAAAGGGGCGGGGTTACTCACGATTTGAGTCAGTGGCAGGAATCTAAAGGCAAACTATGCGAGTTGAAGACTGGCCCTTAATTATCAACAATGTAACTTAATAACTTTCCATATCAGCGAAAAAACGTGGCGCATTGTAGAAA